CAAGTTGAAGGGGCGAAGATTTGATACAGTTGAGGAAATTCAAGTGGAAACGCAGATGGTACTAAACACCCTAACAAAGAAAGACTTCCAGGATGCATTTGAAAAGTGGCAGAAACGCTGGGATCGGTGTATGCGCTCCCAAGGGGACTACTTTGAAGGTGATGGTGCAGAATAAGATCTAGGTAAGATGTAATATTTTTTATTAATATATTTCGGGAACTTTTGGATTGCACCACGTATAATGAAAGACTGATTCTGTATCCTTCAGATGTAAGTATAATTACTTATTTTTAAGAAGTCTGCTTTCGAGAGTTCAAGTTACCTGTTACACTCAGTAAGCCTTGAGATTCAACACAGCCAGATTGACTTGTCACACGGCAGACATATTCTCCACTGTCTTCAAGAATAATGCTGATAAGATCCAATGCTATGAAACCAAAACGGAATGTGGTTGTAGCACGGGAACCTGTGAAAGAAACATTACATATAACATAATTAATAGTTTAGGTCTTTGTATGTGACATACAAATTTAAGTCTTGTAGATTTCTTACTTCAGTGGAAGTAGAATGTCATAATTTCTGTTCCCATTTTTGTTTTTGTAATAAATACATTACTAGAGGGCCTGACTGACTATGCGTTTGTAATGCACATACACAAAGTAGAACACAAATATCCATAAGTGAAAATAGCACTGAATGATAGACACACTCACTTGCTTCCAGAGGTCTGCCATTGACAAACCAGTCAACCCGCATAGTTGGATCTCCAACAGGTTCAATCCGGGCCTCAAAGTGAACTCTCCCACCTTCAATTTGTGATATATCATGTAGTGGGATAATGAACTGTGGAGGAGGATAAATACGGTCCTCCTCGGCTTGAGGCACATGTGGCTTAGCTCGCTCCACATGACGCAAGTAAATTACTTCGGGCCCAGGAGCCAATCTGCAAAATAATATCCAATTATAACATACTTAAGAACTTACTGAAGCTTATTTTTACATCTTAAGAAGCAATGCCTGTGTCCATTATCTAGTCCTGTAGCCATGAAACGTTTCTAAACCACAGCCTCAATTTATGAATATAAAAATGTATAAGATCTGACATGGACTGATGGTTCTGTATGACAACTGGCAATACTGTTGAGCTGATGCATGTTGAATCACATGACCACATGCTGCAGGAGTTTTTATGTGCAACAGTAGTTGAAATTCAATTTGATTTGTAGTTGTAGGAAGTGCTTCATTGGAACAGTATTTTCTTCGTTTATTTGTAAAAAATAAAATGTGAAGAAAAATTTCCTCTGACCTTTCATACCATTTAGAATGGACAATGACGAGACTTGAGTCTTCTTATGTGACCAGAAACAACATACCAGTCTCCACAGGGAAGCTTAGTCTCCAAGAACAAATAAAGTGTGAATACCAAACTCAGTACCTAAGACACTCTAATCTGCTTTCTGATATTAATTTGTTCCTATAAAACCACCAATAAAATGTTCTAACTCAGAATTTTGGAACTCATACAGCAACATATTAATTGAAAAATAAGAATCTTTGACTAAACAAGTGAATTTTACTTAGTCCTTCAGGAAAATGATGGGGGAGTAGGGCAGCTTCCACACCGTTTACAATTAATTATTCACTAATCATCCTAATATTTAACATCACATTGTAAGAGCAACTGACTGTCATTAAAAAAATAAAACGAATAACAGCCATTTTGACTTAAAAAATGTACTTTCTTCCCAGCAGAAAGTGTTTCGAACACATAAGGAAATGGTGCAACTGATCATGCATTATTTGCGACCTAAGCATATTCCTCTGTTTACAAGAATCTCTAAGTGTTGTTTTAATATTAAGCAACATAAAACTTTTTTTTAATTTAAAACCACAAATGTAAAATTTTTGGATGCCTTACAAAATATATTCCCATAAATTGAGCCAAGTGGAATTTAAATGAGATTCAAGAGAAATGAACAATATTTCTATTGAATTCATTATACAGTATATTACTAACACTGTAAGTATTTCTACACAGAAGACTTACTCTGGTTCGATGACCTTTGTAGGTCTTGGAAGGTTGAGGCGCCGTGGCTCAGGGGCTGACCCTTTGGGTGTCTCAACAAAGAGCCGTGCCCGTGTGGCAGTGGAACCTGCAACGTTTTGAGCGGTGCACTGATACCAGGCCGCATCCGACGCCTTGGCTCGCGGGATATCTAACGTTGAGGCTCCACTGTCAATAGTTATGTGTACATCAGGTCCAGACACAACTGGTACACCATCCTGGGAACAAATATTGAAACTCACCCTTAACATGAATATGTACAAAGCAAATAAGCCTAAACTTATTTAATTCAGGGCTCAATACAGATCATTAAACTACAGTCTTCAACTTAAATGCTAACCCAATGGAGAATATGACTAAATATTACTCCAGCTACCTTCTTCTTCTTCTATGACACAAGAGCCCGATGTTGAGCCTTCGCCTCCTTTATCAAGCCCCTCCATTCCTCTCTGCCCTGCGCTGTTCTCTTCCGGTTCCTTACACCCATTCACTTCTTCGCATCTTCTTCCACCACATCAATCAATCTAGTTCTTGGTTTCCCAGCGCGCCTCCTACCGCCCATTGTACTACATAATATTTTCTTTGGGATAAGCTCCTTATACATTCTCTGTACATGCCCAGCCCATCGTAATCTTTTAAGCTTTATCGTCACTGAGATCTCGGGTTCCTTATATAATTTGTATAACTCTTTATTATATCTTATTCTCCATATCCCATTCTCTTTTATTGGGCCATAAATTTGTCTTAGGATTTTCCTCTCAAAAGAATTGATGACTGATTCCTCTTTCTTGTTTAGCATCCAACCCTCACATCCATAATAAAGCACCGGTCTTATCATTGTTTTATATATTTTTGTTTTAATCGCTTGCTGTATATCCTTTGATCTAAAAACTGATAGTAACGAGAAATATGCATTATTCGCTAGTTTTATTCTTCTTGTTATTTCATGATTTTCCTCTCCATCTTTGTGGAATTTCGATCCTAAATATATGAAGTCTTCAACTATTTCTATCCTGTCCCTTTCCATGATTACTCCAATTATACACATCCCTAATCTGTAATATTTCTGAAAAGGCCAGCTGTAGTCTTGTCATGCCTTATATGAAATAATTAGTATTAATTTTATTTGTAACACATACAGAACAAAGACAATTTATTTGTTATAATACTTTGTCTCAAAAGTTGATTGGTAATTTACGCAAAAGCAAAATCTGAACATATTAACTTTATATCTCTCATACAAATATAGATATATAGATACGTATTTTGAAAAAAATATATATATTATCAGCACAGCACATTTATTCAATTTGAATAGGCACAACCAATTTCTGTAGAATACATACAAAAGATGAGTTGTAGCTGCTGTTACCTTCTGCCAAGTGATTCGTGGAATAGGAGTGCCAACAGCTCTTGCATTAAGAACCACTGGCTCTCCTTCCTTCACATGAACTGTAGTAAAACGTTCCACAAACTTCGGTGCCACCACTTGTTCCTTCTCAATCACATTCAAATTACACTGCAACAAAATAAAATTAAATTACTAATTGTTAATATGACAATGGAACTGGGACAGCTCAGTTTGTACAACAATAGGCCTTGAGCCAGACAGCCAAGGAACTGGGGTTTCAATTCCCTGTATGGGAAAATACTTTTCTTTTATCCACAATGCCCTTACCAGCTCTGGAACCACTCCAGCATCTATACAATGGGTGCTGAGGGCATTTTCCCCATCAGTAAAGCAGTCAGGGCATGAACTGGCCATTCACTTCCTTCCAGTGTAAAGGCTAAAAATGTGCAGCAAAGTTGTTTCCACTCCCTCATATACTTGTATCTTCACAGTACAGCGCTTAATTAATTAAACACAAGCCCAAACTTACCTACACTTTTATGATGACATTACTTGCACAACAGCACTATCATCACCAGGGCCCGGATTTAGATGACATGTCATCTTTTTCCCCTTGTATCCTATTCCATGCCCATAAATATACAAATCCCAGAGATGAGCTACTGGTTACAGAAATGTAACTTTTATAGGTAATTTTTGTCACTTTTTGTAATTTTTAAGTTTTTAGGTACTTTTTTCTGTTTCAGGGTAATTTTTCGGTAAATTTTTGGACTTTTAAGGGTATTTTTTGTCACTTTAGCCATTTTAGGGCATTTTTCTTCTTATGTTTTCAGAAATGTGAATAATATGCAAGTATAGTGTTCTTTCTCTTTCTCCTGCCCCTACAAAGGCGGCCTGCAGCTGCACCCCAAATACCTGCTACCACAGTATGCAATAATAAGTTGTAATCCTGTCCCGTCCTTTCTATTCATTTTGCAGAAAGTGCTGATAGTACTGTAACATGTTCGACTGTTACAACATGGACATGGAAAAACTTATGGAACGTCTGGAGCAAATGGCGGCCAGACAGAAAGACGATATGCTGAAAGAGATGAGGGCAAATCAAGTAAAAGCAGATGCCGACCGATTGCGGATGGAAGACAGAATGGACGCCAACATGAGACGCCTACCAAGAAAAGGCGGAGGCCGATAGGAAGGCCGACAAGGAAGAAATTAAGGCCGAAATGCGATCTATGCGGTCAGAGTTGGATGATAATATCCAACATCGAGTTGAAAACATTTTGGCGATCGTTCAGCAACGACAAAACACGTTACATTGGTGTCAGAAGTGGGATCAGTAACCAGAAACACGTTACACTGGTGTCAGAAGTGGGATTAGGACTTACACACGTGATCAACGAGATTCGTACTCAAAACACGTGATAATTTGGTGTCAGAATTTTTACGAGCTTAAACACGCCACAAATTGAATTATT